CTCCCCCCGAGGTGACCCTCCACCGGGCCCTTCCCTCCCCCAATCCCCTTCTCCTCCCCCCAACCCTTGCTCCTTCTTGGCCACCCCGGTAAGAACGGGTGGGACCGGCAACACCCCGGCCAACCGGTGTCGTCGTTCGCAATGACCTTTGTGACGCATGAAGCTGTCGCGCCACATGAATTTTTTGGCGCAGACGTCGCACTGGTAGGGCTTGAGGCCGGTGTGGGTCTTCATGTGTTCGGTGAGGTGGTGCTTCATCTTGAACTTCTTGTTGCAGACGGGACAGTCGAAGGGACGGAGGTTGAGGTGCATGTTGACGTGACGGTCCCTCATGCTCTTGTGGGAGAAAGCTTTGCCGCAATGACACATAAAAATTTTGTTGCCGTCGGCCGACGACGTGGTGAGTTGAACGGCGCCGTGTTCTACGGGAGTTTGAGGTGGGAAGACCAAGATTTGGTTGCCTTGCATGTCCATGGGAAGGAGGGAACGGGGCGGGAAGGAACCGGGACCTCCGGTATCTTCCAAGGTTTCGTAGGGCGACGGGAAATCTTCGGAGGATTCGCAGAAGTTCACTTGTTCCTCCAGCTTGGGGGCGGCGGGACGGGAGACGGCGACGCGAGAAGGTCCTTCGGTCCCTCGGGCCGGTCCTTCCACCGGATCTTCGTCTTCCTCGCAGGTGAGGACCAGATCTTCCTGCAACCATTCCTGTTTGACGTAGACCCATTGTTTTTGAGGGACGATGCTCGGTTGGACGTAGAGGGGACGTCGACCGCCTTCGCCGTCCTCGCTGCCTTCCTCCGCCTCCCTCCCTTCCCCACCGCCTCGGGGACCCCCCGGGGTGGATATTTGGGGGGGTCGGTCCCCTCGGTAGCGTCACGGGGGCTGAAGTAGTTGCTGCTGCTGGGAGACTGGTTGTCGCTGGTACGACTGGAATGGGCGCGCAAGGAGGAGGAGGAAGAAGAAGAAGAAGAGGAGGAAGAGGAAGGTCCGGACGGCGCCGAGGCGGCCCGACCTTCTTTGAGGAGCTCGGTGCACTTGTCAACGATGTGCCACATCTGGAGGACGCTGCCGACCGTCAAGAAGTTAACGATCTCCTCAGGCGCCATGGTGAGATGACCGGTGTAGGCGGAACCCAAAACGGTTTCGAAAGCGCCGGGATCCATCACGTTGGGTAAGACGATGGAGGTCATGTTCTTCAACAAGACCTGGTCGTGGAAGTACG